GACATGGGGCATTGCAAGGACACGAGGGCATTGCAGGGATAGGGACACTGCAGGGACAGGGGCATTGCAGGGACACGGGGGCATTGCAGGGACACAAGGGGCATTGCAGGGATAGGAGCATTGCAGGGACATGGGGGGCATTGCAGGGATAGGGACACTGCAGGGACATGGGGGCATTGCAGGGACACGGGGACATTGCAGGGATGGGGCATTGCAGGGACATGGGGCATTACAGGGACACGGGGGCATTGCAGGGGTAGGGACACTGCAGGGACACGGGGGCACTGCAGGGATAGGGGCATTGCAGGGATAGGGGCACTGCAGGGACATGGGGGCATTGCAGGGACACGGGGACATTGCAGGGATGGGGCATTGCAGGAACATGGGGCATTGCAGGGACATGGGGCATTGCAGGGACATGGGGCATTGCAGGGATAGGGGCACTGCAGGGACAGGGGCATTGCAAGGGACACGGGCATTGCAGGGACACAAGGGGCATTGCAGGGACATGGGGGATATTGCAGGGATAGGAGCATTGCAGGGACATGGGGGGCATTGCAGAAGGGACGGGCACTCTAGGAGGGCAGATAACTTGCAAGAGGACAGGACATTGCAGAGGGACAGATGCTTTGCAGGAGGACGGGGGCATTGCAGGAGGTCTAGGGCACTGCAGGGACACAGGGACATATCGGGGACAGGAGCACTGCAGGGACACAGGGACAATGCAGGGGGTTGCGAGCATTGCAAGGACATGGGGACACTGCAGGGACACGGGAAGATTGCAGGGGGACAGGAACATTGCAGGGACATAGGAACACTTCAAGGAGACAACATTGCAGGACAGGAGCATTGCAGGGACATGGGGACATTGCAGGGGGGCAGCAGCATTGCAGGGGGACAGGAACACTGGAGGGACAGGACATTGCAGGGGAATGGGGCATTGCAGGGACAGAGGAACAGTGCAGGAGGATGGGAGCATTGCAGGGGGACAGGAGCGTTGCAGGGACACGGGGACATTGCACGAGGACAGGAGCCTTGCAGGGACATGGGGACACTGCAGGGGGGCAGCAGCATTGCAGGTGGATGGGGAAATTGCAGGGGGCCAGGACATTGCAGGGGGCCAGGGGCATTGCAGGGACACRGGGACACTGCAGGGACACGGGAACGTGGCAGGGGGTAGTAGCATTGCAAGGGCATGGCAAAATTGCAGGGGCCCAGGACAGGGCAGGGGGAACAGGGGCATTGCAAGGGGTTAGGGGCATTGCAGGGCCACGGGGACGCTGCGGGGCCACGGGGACGCTGCGGGGACCGGCGGTCCCGCACTCACCGCCATGCTGTGTGAGAGCTGCTCGGCCGTGAGGCTCAGGCTGTAGTGCTGCGCCTCCAGGCGCCGGCACTGCGTCTGCAGCACCTGCCGCTCCACGTTTTGTTCTGCAGGACACAGCGGGGSGACGGCGTGAGCACCGGGACGCGCCGGCCCGCAGCCCCCTTCCCCAGCCACGACGCCCACACCCCCCTACTAGCAGCATTTGCAAGACAGAAACCCAGAAAGCGAAGCATTTCCCCCCAAAAAGCGTGTTTGGGAGGGGTGGTTTTGCACGCAGAGGCGCCCGTTCCCGCGCGCCGCGTTCCAGGTAGCGTCGCAGGGCGCCGCCGGCCCCATGAATTTTCATGCGTGCCATGAATTTTTCATGCACGCCATGAATTTTCATGGGCACCTGTTGCATCCGTGGCGCGGGCGGGCGGCCAGCGCCTCCCTCCCCAGCTGCGACCCCGGGCACGGCGCCRCCGCGGGGACCCCTCCCCGCTCCTCACCTTCTATATGCTCCTGGTAAGCCTCGAAAATTGCCTCGATCCCTTGCCATTTGGGCCGGGGGAATTCGTCCTCGTCCTCCTCGTCGTCCTCGTCGTCGTCGGAGGCCGAGTCGTGGCGGCGCTCGGGGGCRCGGGGCGGCGCCTCGGGCTGCCCGTTGTGCGGGGGTCCCGGCGGGCGGCCGGGCGCCTGCAGCTCAGGCAGGTTGTAGTGGACGGAGGTGTCCAGCTTGTGGTTCTGCTCGGCCACCAGCGACGCCCCCGCTGCGGGCACGGAGCGTCAGGACCAGCAGGGCGCACAAGCCGGGGGCCTTGCCCAGCGGGATGCAGCAACAGCCCCCCCTCGAGAGCTGGGCAGCCCGCGCTTCCCATCTCATCATGGAAGCCTCCCTCATTCCTTTCCTTCCTTTCCTTCCTTTCCTTCCTTCCTTCCTTCCTTTCCTTCCTTCCGCCCATTCACCTTCTCACCCACCCACCAATCCATCCATCCTTCCATCCACTCTCCCCTCCATCCATCCATTCTCCCATCCATCCATTCTCCCATCCATCCCTCCCTCCCTCCATCCACTCTCCTATCCATCCACTCTCCTATCCACCAACTCTCCTATCCATCCACTCTCCTATCCATCCCTCCATCCTTTCACCTGCTCTCTCAGGCACCTTCCCTCCCTCCCATCCCTCCATCCACCCATCCCCTCCCCTATCCATCCCTCCACCTCTCCCTCCATCCCCTCTCCTATCCCTCCATCCCTCGCTCCCTCCCGGGCAGGGCCGCGCTACCTTTGTGCTTCTGCAGGGCTTTCTGCGTGGACTGCAGCACCGACTCGTGGAACTGGTGGGCGAACTCCTCGGCCATGAAGGGCTCCCAGGCCTTGCTCTTGCCGTTGACGCTGTGCGACAGCGGCACGGGGATGTCCTTGGGCAGGGGGCCGCGCACGTAGCTCAGGATGCTCAGCGCCTTCTTGCCCTCGCTCAGCCGCGGCTTCTCCGACGCCTCCTTAGCGCGCGCCAGCTCCGGGGGTCGCAGCGGCTCCAGCCGCCCGGGCTCCGCCGTCCTCGGCGGCTCCGGCACGGGGACCCCCGGGGCTTTGTCCGTGTCCCCCGGGAGCGGCTGCACCAACAGCTCTTTGGGCAAGGAGAGTGCAGTTAGGGGGCAATGGGGCTGCCGCTCTCCAGGCAGGGCCTTGCCTGATGTTCTCCCCATCCGTCCGTCCGTCCATCCATCCATCCATCCATCCATGCATTTAACCATCCAACCAGCCAGCCAGCCAGCCATTCTGCCCTCCATCCATCCATTCTCCCACTCACCCATCAATCCATACACCCATGCAACCATCCACCCTCCACACAACCGTCCAACCACCCAACCATGCAAATTCCCATTTATCCATCCATCCATCCATCCATCCATTCATCCACCCATCCTTCCTTCCATCTACCCATCTATCCATCCTCCCCTGCATCCATGCACCCTTCCTTCCTTCCTTCCTTCCTTCCTTCCTTCCTTCCTTCCTTCCTTCCTTCCTTCCTTCCTTCCTTCCTTCC